GTATACTACTCCCTCAAACGTTTGGCCTTATTTCGGGAGGGGTCATACTCACCCCAGTACTTTTTTCTCATTCTTTTGTACCCTAAGTTACTTTCCATTCCCGATTCACCCACCTCTTCATTTTCTATTTATCCCTATCTATCTCAAATAGATCTATGTATTTTGTATCTGTCTGTTCACCTTTTTTTTTTTTTCATTCAAAGATATCATAAACGCTTTTTGAAATAAAAATCCTTTGTTCAGTTATTACAAAACAACGTACCTGGTCTGAGATCACTCTCGCTTTCTCACGATTTACTGCCTTTTTTTTTTGCCCCAACACAGACACCTGCATTTCATTTACAAGCAAACAAGACATTTTTTTTTTTTTTTCCTAGTTACAATGACTTATACCTCACAAGATTTTTTTTTTTTTTTTTTCTTTTTTTTCCCTAGTTACAATGACTTATACCTCACAAGAATTTTTTTTTATTTTTTTCTTAATTTAGGAACGAGGTCTTTACCAACCAATACCATGAAATGCACCTTTAGATCACACTTTCCTCATGTCCAGTTTTTCCCATTTCCAAATCACCTTCCCAATCATGCTCAATGTCCGCCTCCTCCTCCTCTTCATCAAAATCCCCATCATTTGAGTTGTCATCATCCTCATTTTCAACCAACCACCCATCCTCTTGATCGTACAGGTCACCAAACTCCCCTTCGGCATAGTATTCATCATCATCCGCATCCTCGCCGTCACTTGGTTGTTGAAGATCAATACCCTCCTCGTCGTCATCCAACACCTCGTCACAACAGTCCAAATTGCCAGTTTTGTCAAGGTGTTCCTCAGTAAACTCCTTAACTACCAGAACCTGATATACCCTGATTTTCTGTTCGTAGTACTTCTTACTGAACTTGGAACCTGACAAAGATTCATCTGGATGTGGTATTGGTTTGAGGGATTGCGCCGCATCGGGCAGAAGCGCAACATGGGCTGAATCGACCCACTTTTCTTTCTGACCGGGAGGTAAGTTGTTGTACCAGGAAGGACTGTAGAAGTCGATAGGAAGTTGGGTGGGTGGTGATTTGAAAGTGGAGGGTACAGGTGTCTTCAGTAGCCGGCGCATATGTTTCTGGCTTGTCTTTCCTGGGAGAATGTCAGCCTTTTGCATGAGGAGATCGACTTGGCGGATGAGCTTGCTGGCATTAGCTGAGCGGAATTCAAGAGTTTTGATCGTGTGTGTAATGCTGTTGGAGTTGACTTCGTCGTCACTGTGAGTGTTCGGTTTTGCAAGCATCTTGATGTATTGTTTAGGGCAGCCTGGAATCGTCGAGAGGAATTCGCATCTTGCCTTGCATAGCTGGGAAGAAAAAAAAAATAAGGCTCAGCTCGACAGACTAGCAAGCTACAGTAGAGAGGCTGGACATACCCTGAGTCGATGTCTCAAAACTGCTGCTTTCTTTGTAACCAACTCAAACTTTCCTGGACTCACAAGTTCCTTTTTGAAGTGCTGTGCTGAGAGGTAGTGCACGAAATGATTGTATGCCAGGGTGAGTAATGTGAGGTTGTTGAGGTAAGCTTTGCTGATGTTCGGGTAAGGACCTTGGAGGGCAACTTCACGAAAGCTCCTAATGGCTGCGATGTGGCAAGCGCTGTTAAATAGCGAATCTGGACTTTCAGTGAGATTGGGGCCCCATATCGAGATGCCGAGTTTGGCCAAGCTGGTGTGGATGTAATGGATGCAAACTTCATCAACGTTGATCATGCCTCGACCTACTTTAATCCGACCCATTCGGGCATCCTTCAGCGTCTCGATCTCAGCCTGGGCCATCAAAGTCACCCCCAATTCATTGTCGATGGCCTGTTGAACCACAGTGATTGTACTGAAGGAGCTGTTGAAACGTGCCATGGTATCCTTGTCAGCCGGCGGCGGCACCAAGTTGGGTTCAAGCATGCCCCACAATATCTTGATGTGGATGGTGAAGCCCTCCTATGGTCAAAAGTCAGGATGATGTGAGATGAAGTTTGAACTTATGAAAGACTGCTCACCTTGGTCCCTTCAAATCCTTTTGGATAGTCCGCCGTTGTTACTTGGTTCGGCCTCTTCTTTGCTGGAGTAGAGCCAGAGGGCTGGGAGGCCATCTTATGTGTAGCT